TGTATGTGTAATGAGAGTGTGAGTAATGTGAATGTCTAAGTTGTGGGATAAAATTGAGGCAGAGGCAGCCAGAAGGGGACAGAGGGGGGAGGGGGGGGGTAGCCTCCTCTGCACCCTGGTGTATGAAGTCTGTTTTTGATGATTTGGTCAGAGAAATCACACCAGCGACCTGCTGGAGGTCCTTTGGTAGCTCTGGCAGTGCTCATCCTGTTCCTCCCTGCACAAAGGAGCAGATACCGGTTCTGCTAATGGGTTAAGGACCTTCTATGTTCCTGTCCAGCTCTCCTGCAGTACCCGCCTGCATCCTAGAATCTCCTCCCTGCTCTTGAGACTGGTGCTGGGAGACGCAGCAAACCTTTTGGCAAAGACATGCATTGATGTGCCATCCTGGAGGACTACCTGTCCAATGTCTGTAGGGTCCAGGTATTGCACTGAGCTACCAGTAGTGACCCTGACCCTAGCCAAAGGCAGGGATGATAAAAACAGTCATAAAAGATAAGGAAGGAAAAAGTGTCAGTGGTGTCCACCTGTAAAACTATTCCTGTTTTGGGGGTTGTCTCATTGTTATCACTCTAGTGCACCTGTTGTTAATTTTATTAACTCATTAACAACGCTCTCAGCTACTGAACTGATCACATCAATATCCCAGAATTTTAACTGAGCGCAGTATTGAGCACAAATCTCACTGAAAACTTCACTAATCAAACTGTACGTACTTTCTCTGCAGAGTGCACCAAAAAAAGAAGAGTGACACAAGTTCACAACATCAAAAAACGAGGTTTGACTTTACATCAAACACACAAACTGTAGGATGAAGTCCAGAAGACTCGAGGTTTACTAGGATTTTAAAAATGGGATCAGTGGTAACTATCAGACTGGTAGATAAAGAAGTTGTATAGTGGAAATGCTGTGTAATTAATGCTCAGTCAAATATGAATAAAATACTGTATAACAAAGTTTTGTGTGCAGTAGAATTTACTCTGCAGTAGCAATATTGAGTACAGCACACAGTATTGTACAGGTACAGTACTCACTGGTACTTTATTTTATTTGTAAATGCACAGTTGACAGACCCAAGCTATCCTGTTAATGTGCCAGCTTTATTTTCACCTGCTGTCTCAGGGAGGTTATTGGCATGAATGGAGCCTTTTTCACTGGAGAGTATGAATCCCGAAGTCTGCTGCTCACCATCTTCAGCTCATGCTTAATGCTAGACTGAGTTAAAGACTGAAACACTGATGTAAGTCAGTAAGAACAGACCAACAAAGAAAGGCTGTGTAGAATGTGAATTAAAGGGTAAAATAGGGATTATTCTTCACAGACGGATCCACACTGAGTGGACGCGTGTGTGCGTCGATGGTCATGAAGTCATTGTACACAGTCAGAGAGATTGTGAGTTCTGATACACTCATGACATCAATGTTATGTTTGCTTTTTGGTAACACTGCCAAAAAATTAGGGATAAAAGCCGTTATTAAACAGCAGAGGGAGTAAGAGGGCAGCCGAGACTGTAACATGCTCCTGTTTGAATCCTGCTGAGTGCTGTAAAGAAAAATGGGAACTGCAGCTGAGACCACATTCACCTACTCTGTTTAAAATATAATTAAAAATGAAAAAAGAAAAAGTTTCTGATGGATATATGATGAGTTCAGTTTCTCGTATACACTGACTCATCACTTGTACATATAGTTAAAATAAATTTGAATTTAATTTTCATGCAAACATCTGATGTTCCCAGATGTTTGCATGAGGAGTAAACAGGTTACATGTGTCTGTGATCTGATGTGTATTTGTACAAACTTAAACTCCTTGCACAAACAAACAGGCAGAAGTTGCTCTAAAGAAGTGGTTGTCAAATGTTTGGGATGCCTCATTTCAGAAACTGAAAAAAACAACACTATTTTTAATCAGAATCAGAATACTTTATTGATCCCCCAGGGATCAATAAAGTATAATCCTTATTAATCCTTATTCTGCTGTCACACTAATGAAGACAGTTGCGGGAGGCCAGCGTGTGACCAGTGTGTGTGCAGTAAAATTGCCGTCTTCTTGATGATCGGTTTGGGGACGGGTCCAGCTCTGCGACCACTTGCAGTTAGCTGCGGTCTTCAAAACAGCTTTGGTGCATCAACATGACAGTAAAACAGCAATAAGATGGAGTCTGTCTCCTATCAGTTTGACTATGCAGTCTAGTTGCCAGTTGCTGCCAAGTTGTTTGTCTGTAACTGGCAAACTACTTACATTAAAAACGTAACAGTTGACACAGAAATTACAACACAAGCAGTGACGCAGTTGCAGCAGGATGGAGGTATAACTGCTCAGCAACCTTACTCTTTTATTGGAATACCACCAGCCTGCAACCAGAGGAGTCGAGTCCCATATTGCAAAGAGACACATCACAAACAAGTTGCACTCACCGACTCAGACTGATTGTTTGAAGACAGATTGTCATCCTGCAATCACATACATTGATTTCTCAACTTCTGGGTAGTAGTTGGTCTCCACAAGTATTTGGTCACCAAATGTGAAAAGATTCAATACAACCACCAAGTTTTCCTTGCTGCAAGGATGTTGCCGTCTACTTTTACTCTAGAGCAGGGCTGGGCAACTCCAGGGCCGGTGTCCTGCAGGTTTTACGTGTCCCTGATCCAACACAGCTGATTCAAATGGCTAAATGACCCCCTCAACAGGTCCTGATGTTCCCCAGAGGCCTTGTAACGAACTACTCATGTGATTCAGGTGTGTTGACCCAGGGTGAGATCTAAAACCTGCAGGACACCGGCCCTCAAGGCCTGCAGTTGGACGCCCCTGCTCTAGTCACCAACAAAACAGATTTGAATAAAATGTGGTATAAAAACGTCAGCAAACAGCTGTTTAGTTTACCTAAAAATAAAACCATGCTATTCAACTTCAATTCATGGGATTCTGGGTCCTAATACTGGTGCCCACTCCACTGTTTCCAGTTGCACCTAAGAAGTAGACGGTGTGCAAGAAAATTTGGCTCTTTTTCTTTTTTTAAAAACAGTCCATTTCAGGCCGTTTAGCTGCTGCTGGCGTTTGTATTGTGTGTCAAACTGAGTATCCACATGAAATGCTTCAGGGTTCTACTGTCAAAATTAAATTTGCACCTTGGCAGCTTTGGTAATCTCGAGGACGAAGTCTGTCAGCATCCAGTTCCCCGTACTAAAACCCGTCTGTGTTGGTAGTAAAATGCACCCAGTGCTGTCCTTCAGAGGCTTCTGAATGTGACACATTAAGTCGAGAGGTTGTCTCTCACTGCTATCGCTGTAATAAATGCAGCATTGTTGTGTACATTTGGCATAACTGCAATAAAATCTTACAGAACGGCTCCAGTAACATCATAATTGGTTTTTATGCAGCTGTTATTTACTCTTTCATTGACAGTTTTTAGAGGAGAGAAAACTGAGTTAACTTTGCGGAGCTCTTCATAATGTGCAGTGAGTCGGGCTTTGTATTTGTGCAGAACATTACAAATTTGATCAAATTCAGCTTTAGCTTTTTAAATCCAGCTCTCACACCTCACTCCAATTTTCACCTCCCGTTTCTCCTCAACCTTGGAAGAAATGTGTTTTATGGTGCTGCTGACATCTGTGTAACAAGAAATAGAGCTGATGTCATCTGCAAGGCTGTAATGTTTCCCTCCTTTCATTGTAGTCTGTGCGCTTCTTAAAGCAACTTAAGTACGCAAGTCAAATCTACTGCAAGTGTCATTCTGCCCCACATTCATAGGAACGCCAATGCATTTAATAACCACACTCTTTTTTTCTTTTCTAGTTGTGGTTTCAAAAAATAGAATAGAGTAGAGTAGAGTAGAATAGCCCTTTATTGTCATTGTACATGTACCGTGAAATTATGGGGTTTGTGTTACAGTGGAGTCAAAAGAGTAACTTTTTAAAAGGTTGTTCAGAAATATCACAACAACAATTTTGTAGACTAGTATAATAATCTTTTGCAAACAACTGTAGTCATTAGCTGAGGACTCCAACCAACCTTTAGGGACAACACATCAAAGCTTTCCCTTACTCATTGCAGCAAGGGGGTCATTCTGCATTAGATCAATGGGAAGAACAAGATCTGGGCAATCAACACCTACGCCCTGCCGGTCCTCAGATACCCTGCTGGGATAATCGGCTGGGAAAGGAGGAAACAGGAGCTACTGACAAGACGCTAAAGGTCCTTACCACGCATGGAGGGTGTGGTCCCTAGCTCAGCTGCAGGGGAGGGGCGGTGCCAGGGAGGTTGGAGGGTCAGGTGGAGATGCTTTGTGCTGATGATGATGAAGAAGAGGGAGGGTACAGCTAACTGAAAAGTTGTCTGACGTGGGTGCCGAGACTGAAAGTGTCACTGAGTGATCAATAAAACGCAACCTGTCAAATGTGAACACAGTATGCTGGGTCCCAGTCATTTACAGAGGGGTTCACATCCAACACCCTGAGACTGTAGAAGCAGGAGGCTCAGGACTAGTGAGTGTCAGAAACACTATCCATGATGAAACAAAGATCTGCCAGTACATCGGGACAACCGAGGAACCCGAGAAAAAAGAGGAGCAGGAACAGAACTGGCACCTGAATAGCATGTACCACAGGCATATAGAAGAAATCCTACCAACGGCTGGATGAACTCTGACTGAAACACAGCACATAGGCACTAATCATGGCGGCAGGAACAAGTTCTAAGTGCAAGACTAAGGTCAGTAGAGGGTTAGGGTGTCTACCACATCAGGCAAGACCCCAGATGCATGCTCTGTAAAGACAATTCGGCACACAACACCAGGGTGTAAGAAGCTAACAGGCAGGGCATACTTGGAATGGCACAACTAGTGTACAGGAACATCTGTCCCGAGTATCACTTGGAAGTCCTGAGGTCAGAATGGGATCAGCTAGAAAGCTAAGATCTTGTTTGACTTCCAGATACAGATGGATAAACTAGCAAATGGTTAACCAACCAAACATAGTAGTGGTGGACTAGCAGAAGAAGACCGTAGTGATAGATGTAGTTATGCTAAGGAGGAGCATATATGGTCATATTTGGTCATACACACACATACATAGACCAATTTTTTTTTATAATTACTTCTTTTGGTGTGAGTTTAACATCCATCCATCCATCTTCATCCACTTTGTCCGGGGCCGGGTCGTGGGGGCAGCAGCCTAAGCAAAGAGGCCCAGACCTCCCTCTCCCCAGCCACCTCCTCCAGCTTATCCGGGGGAATACCAAGGCGTTCCCAGGCCAGCCGAGAGATATAATCTCTCCAGCGTGTCCTGGGTTTGCCCCGGGGCCTCCTCCCGGTGGGACATGCCTGGAACACCTCACCCAGGAGGCGCCCAGGGGGCATCCTTGTCAGATGCCCGAACCACCTCAGCTGGCTCCTTTCGATGTGGAGCAGCAGCTGCTCTACTCTGAGCCCCTCCCGGATGGCCGAACTTCTCACCCTATCTCTAAGGGAGAGGCCAGCCACCCTTCGGAGGAAGCTCATTTCTGCCGCTTGTATCCGCGATCTCGTTCTTTCGGTCACTACCCACAGCTCGTGGCCATAGGTGAGGGTAGGGACGTAGATCGACCGGTAAATTGAGAGCTTCGCTTTTACACTCAGCTCCCTCTTCACCACGACGGACCGGTGCAGCGTCCGCATCACTGCAGCTGCAGCCCCTAGTGAGTTTAACATTCCTGCATAAAATCTGTAAGCACTTTAAAGTAAAGGGGAAGAGAATGGTTAAAGCAATTAAATAAACTAAAAATGAATGACATCAATAACAGCATGTTGTAATTCCAAGGTTTCTAATTAATAGAAACTTTGTGGGAATGAACAGGTTCATGTTGGGGACTGGGGAGTGCAGTGAGGAGTCATAGAAACAGTCCAGCAGGTAAAACAAACAAGCTGATGTTGTTTTAGAAACGGGAAAATTACCAACAGCACCTCCAGCTCAGGGAACATCCATTTATAGTCTTGGGAAATCTGGTCCTAAGTGGTCGTCATGGAAGAGTTGCAGGCAAAAAGCCATAAAAAAGAAACAGCAGTTGGTTCCCTGCAATTAAGTCATTATTAGCTCTAAAATTGTAATTATAATTATATTTCTTTCCTATCAGGTCTGCATTTCTGGTTGTTCAGTACTCTGCTTGATGGTAGGGGAAAAGATTATCAGTAGAGGTATGCTGATGTTTTGGACTGATTGGCAAGGTAGCACAGTACACTCTTTAACCCAGGAGACACAGAAACAGGGTTTTCATGATAACAGGGTTCTTGCTGATCGGAGCTGGCTTGGCCCTGACTTATCGAAGAATTAAGGAAGCGGAACCGGCTGTTCAAACCCCCACAAGGCTGCCCGCTGGGATTGAAATGATGGGGCGAGGCATGAGTTTCTAAAAATGGGCTCATTGAGTGCAGCACGGAGAAGATCTTGGAGAACGCACGGCTGCTGTGAATACTCAGAACAAGACCTCTGAGTGAAAAACTGGATTACATCTGGAGGGGCTAGCTCGAATAACACCTTTGAGCGCAAATTCGATCACATCTTGGGAAGTGCACTGCAGTCGTAAGTTCTCAGGACCTGCTCTTTGAGCAAAAAGAACGACAACATCACGGA